TTTTTTTTTTTTTTTTTTTTTTTTGTATGTTTCACCTCCTCTCTCCTCTTCCCCCTTCGTCATTCAGTCTCCAGTTTTTGTTCATCAACATCCCCTTCTCCACTTCAACTCCCCTAAAAAAAAAAAAAAAAAAAAAAAACTATGTTCAATCCAAAAATGTCAGAGCGCAAAATTGAAAAAATATATATATTTCTTGCCCGATCGTCTGACAAATGAACGATCTTAAAAAATTTCAATATTGTTCTCATGATTTTGGAGGAAAAACGAAATAAAGTACTAAGAATAGGTGTGCTGGAAGAAAAAAGAGTTAAAGAAGTGAACAGAAAATCCATAAGAATAACTGTTTGCAAACTGATCTATTTTTTACCACCAAAAGAAAGAGTAACATAAATATGTATTGTACTTTTTTAAAGATAATTGCCCATGCATTCATTTTTAAAAAAAAAAATTTCTTCTCTTCCTTTCTTTTCTAAATTAAATATCTATAACTCTGTAAGTCTATACTGGTCCGAAGTTAAAAACGAAAAAAATGTTGTAGTTTATTTAAAAGCGAAAAACGTAGCAGATGAGGTTGGAAATCATTTAGCAAATTACCCCATACTAAATTTGACTATCAGAAGCACCATTTAAGATAGATAATAATAAAAATAACAATAATAATAATAACGATAAATCAAAAAAGGCGGATATAAACTGCCACAGAAAAAAAAATTGAAATTTGACTAGTTTGGTCCCTACTATTCATAATTTTTAAATGTTCCAGTACTATAAAGTTTCAACCTCCAAAATACTAACCAAAAGCACTATCCGACCATTACTGCCACCACGGCTACCACCATCATCAACGCCATTAACAACACAGCAGTCCTTTTAATGACCCCCGAAGGAAAAAAGCAACAGAAAAAAAAAAGTAAAATTTTTGACAAACTATAGCTGATATAAATCAGTTTGTGGTCATCCTAAAGAAAAATTAAAGAAAAAAAAAAACGAAGCGAAAGAACGGGAAGGCAAAAACAACAAGTGTGATGTTTGATGAAATCAGAAGTATTGTTAAACGGTAGTCAAAGACTACCCACCCGAAAATGATTGTTTGAGGTGATGACAGAATAGTGTGTGTACCATAAGAGTCAAAAATTGTTGCAACAAACAACAACAACAACAGATAAATAAATACATAATAGGTTTAAAGAAGAGGACGATGATGGCGATGAGCAGGAAGGAAGAGGTGAAGATGAAAGAGAATAAAAAAGGAACAAACTATTACTACATCAACCAAGGCCCAAGATAATGTTCATTACCGCTGTTTTTGCGCCGAATTTTTGTGTATTTTTGTATGGCTGAAAAATATTTTTACAAGTGGTAAATTTAATGTCGACGAAAATCTTTTCAGACTGACGTACACATACGACTGCATACACACAAACACACCGATCTACACCGACAGATACACGTTGCTCATTGCCCCTAAACTCATTGACTGAGGTCGAAAAATGATTGTCCATGACGATTATGACGGCAGTATACAATAGCGATGAAGGTGGCAATAATAATAATAATAATAATAATAATAATAATAATACAATAATAATAATAATAATAATAATAATAATAATAATAATACATGGTAATGTTGAGAAACGAAAATTTTGGTGAACATGATAAAGTTAGGTGTAAAATATGGATTAAAAAATTGAACTATAAAGCAATAAATGAGGAAGAACTACAGAAACTGTAGTTCGAGAAGTTACTGTTGACCAAAGTTCTTCGCCAAAAAAATCTTCCTTACTTTTTCCTTCCCTCATTATGATCATTATAATAATTATTATCAGCATTAGAAAAACTGTTTTTCTCATGCAAAAAGTCTGAAACTCCAACAAAAATACCCCGTATATTCACCTCATTGCTGCCAGTATGCCATTTTGTCGCTCATTTTTTCCTTTTTCGTCCAACATAAGCCCTTCTAAACGTTTAATTTCTTATCAGTCAGAACAGAAAAAGGAAGAAAATTGGTAAGTTTAAAAGGTGTGGTATAGTTAAATGAAGTTTGCAGCCATATCATTACTTTAAAAAAAAAAAAACTTGATGTGCTCGTCCTGCAAATGTCAACTTTTTCAACCTTTTCATTGTTTTCAAAGTATAGGCATTTTTTTTACCCTATGCCTTCTCTGAAGAGCAAAACAGAACTGGAGAGAAAATAGATAAAATTTGAAAACTTAAATAAAAAGGCATGAAAAAAAATATGACAAAAAAATTAAAAACACAAAAAGAAAGGCCATCACTTCCATCCTCTGTGTATCATCACTGTCATAACCATCATCATCGTTCTTTCCCCCTCCCCTTTCCTCATCTCCTCTTCTTCTTCCTCTTTCTCCTTCCCTAATCCCATCATTAGCAGTACCAGTACCAGCGCTAGTAATGAGAAACAATTGAGCGCCTAATGTAGCCACTGAGCTATACATTTCCAGCAGCGTACCCAAGTGCTTTACCTTTCTTGTCTGAAGTGTATTCGTTTATACATAATTAATAAAGCCACTCGATAAAATGTATAAAACAACAAGACCTTCACTTCATTTGCTAGCTATTTGCCTACTTGCTACATTCTGAGGCAATAACTGATCTGTTGTTGTGGTTGTTACCATTTTTAATCTTCCCACCATATAAATATTTACACTGAAACTTAAAATCAAGTCAAAAAAAAAAAATTAACAATGAAAAGGTATATCTAATACTCTTAAATCTTAAAACTCTAACACTTTATTTCTCCTTCAGCAGCATACAAAAAGTGAACAAGTTCAATAGACGACTGTCAAGTAGCAATAAAAAACCTGTTATTCAGTAGCACTCTCATTATACTGCAGGTATGAGGTAGGAGATAGTGTTGAAACGCACAAAAATACAACCACAATTTTCACACATGCGATATTTAAAAGTTTGAAAAAAGCAAACAAAAAAAACAGCAATAAATTTTTTCCCCTACTACAGTGACCTCTGAAAACGATTAACGAATTAACGGATTTTCCATCATACACCCCACTCTGAGCAACTGAACTAAAGAATTGTTTTAACAAAGCTTATTTTCGCTCAACCATATTTGGTTAGTATTATTACACGCGTACACAGCCATTGATATATTGCAACAAAAAACATGTTTTAACAAGCCAGATAACTAACGGTGAAAACCCACAGACAACAAGAACAGATTGAAACGAGAGAATCAGTAAACAAACAAAAAAACCAACCTGGAGTTCGCATATCATTTTTTCGGCGAACACGTAGCTGTATCACCCGAGATTTGATACACTGAAAAATACCATTTTCAAAGGCATGCATACAGAAAATAGCAACCTAAATTTGAAAAACTACTACCAAATGATAAATGGTTCAAACTTAAGTACTCAGAAATATTCTTTGTGACCCAAATCATAATTTAACCTAATTCATTATAAATAGCAGGTACTAAAATATAAATGAATCAAGTCGATGTATGGGAGAAGTACTGTTAATCTTAAAAACCCTTATTTCCAAATTCGATTCTGTCAACGATTTACTAGACATTAAAAAGGAAGCAGCACAGTCATGCACATTGATACCATAAAGCTTTGAATACCTTCGGATCATGAAAGTTACCATACAGAACAGCCTCATTCTGAACCAAACTACATGAACAACGATTGGTACAAGACGATGCACAACGATCCACGTGTGCATTAAGCACTAAAGGTATCTCAACCTCTAATGCTCGTGATATATCCGACGTTTGGCTGATCATTTTTTTAAAAAAAATTACATACTACTGTTGGTAACGAATAATGATGGTTGTGGTGATGGCATCTGTTTGTCTTTGCCTTTGCACACAATATTGCCCAGATATGTATCGGCTTTTATTTCAGAGACTTTTTTTTTCTTCTTCTTTGGAGATTCCTGCGAAACAATTCCACACATATAGCAAAAAAATTTTTGCCAAGAAACACCGTAAATGTAATAAACGAAAAAGAAAGGCAAACTGAACCAAGTGAAACCATTGGGGAACAATAAGACGATGACGATGATGATAGAAAGAAAAATTATTCAAACGAAAAAAAAAAACAAACAAACAGAAAAACATTAGTCGTAATAAAAAAAATTGTTAGAAAAAAAAAATTGACAGAAAAAATTTGAACAAAAAAAGCATTTTTTTTTCCAAGCTTCCATCACAAAAATGGTTAAAACACTTCATATCGGTGCTTTCACCAATGTTTTCTTTGCTTTTGTCGTTGTTGCAGCTGCTATTGCTGCTGCCTTCGCTGTCGTCGTTTAATAAATACTTCGAGTAAACAGCGGTGTCAACTGTTCTGCTCGTGTTTTACCTGTTCTCTTCTGCCTTTTTTCCCAACAATTTGGGCGCTAGAAAATCTTAACAGACTTTGACCACACCTCTGTCCTTCTGTTTCCTCCCCACAAACCCACTATCTCCTTCTACCGCAATAACGAATCATTCCGTTTAACAAAAAAAAAATCTCCCCCATCTCAATAAGTCCTTTTTTAAATCTTTATGACGTAAAGCTTTTTTCCCTTTCTTGCACAACAAGTAAAAAAAATTGTTTTTCTCTGCTACGCACCTTTCCCAAGTGAATTTCTTTTTCCCAAGTAAATTTCTCTTTTCGTAAATTAAAAAAAGAAGGCAGAGCTTCGTGATCGATGGCTGGATAAAATTGCGGATGAATAATTAGACAGTTTCACAGACCTGTGAAGACGACTCCAACAAAATAAAAGTGGAAATTTGCGAGAATGAATCATCCAGACGAAAAAAAGTTTCATTTACTATTTGACCACTCACTGACGTCAATACTCGAATATTTTTCCTAACATCAAAATTGAGTCGCTTATACAGATCGCGTAAACTCCGTGTAACTTTCCAGCCGGCCAAAGCAGTCTTTACGTAACGGTTATGTTTATTGGTTAAATCACGTTGTCAAATAAAGTTGTCTAATCTGAGAGGACTCACACTGTTGAACTGTATTAACATGAGCCTTTCTAACGATCATATAATGCATAAAAAAATTATAGACTCAACGATAAAAGAAAATGTCGATCTAATAACTGAAGTAACACTACGACAAAAAAATTTCTTCCATATCCAACAAATAAGAGAGAAATTAAAGAAAACAAACGATGTCATGTGGTCAGAGTTTAATAGAAAAAATTGGAGAAGAGTGTATGACCTGAAAATTGGGAGGTGTTAAAGTAAGGAAGCGGAAAAGTGAATAAAATTACAACTTCATGAGCAAAATCATTTTACTGTACGTAAATAAAGTGAAATTACAAGACAAATAATGGTCGCTACAAAATTGCTGGGTTTGGATGAAATCCGGTAAAACAAAAAAATTTGCCGTCAAAATTGAATCAATTTCTTGACTAATGAATACCAAAGTCAAAAATGAATGAATGAATTTTGCCAATAAATAAACATTCCCACCAAAATCAGTACCCAATTCAATCTTTTTTCTTCTTTATTTTATTTTGAAGACGAAAGTACACATATATTGAAAAACAACGCTTGAAAATGAAAATGAAAAACAAAAATAAACTCAAATAAGAAAAATAAAAATAAACGAATAAATAAATAAAACAAAAATTTTATAATCAAAATTTTTAAAGTGTTTGGTGTTATCTTTTTGCATTCCAAATAAAAGACTTATTCAGCCTTTTCGCCGCCCAAAAAAACTTGACTGTAAAATAGTTAAAATTAAGAAAAGTAAACTGAAATTTTGCCCAAATTGAGCAACAAATTAAGAATAACCATATTTTTATTTTTTTTAAATCTAATTAGAGGACCGTTGCTGACGGAACTAAAACCTGGCAGATGACAACGACACGGTTTCGATAGGTTGATTACAGATAGGGTTTAGATTCAATGCATTTTGTTAGGAGGCCCAAGTCTCAGGGCGAAGTTGGTTGAAGTTCAAAAGAACTACAAGACAAATTCTTCTTCTTTTTTTCTTTGCAAACACTTCATTTCCGAAGCTGACAAACAGTTCTACTGCAGTTCAGAGATTCAAGTTTTAACAGTCTGTTTCCAACCTTTTGGCGGTATAATTGTTTTCGTTTTTGTCCACTATCGGTCGTCGCAAAGAAGCAAACAAACAAAGTGAAATGCATGTTCATTTCCTTTCTTCCTCATTCCTCCATCACTCCCTAATTTGCAACAGTTTTTCCGCTAAAAAGTGCGCCCTTCTTCAAAAAAAAAAAAAAAAAACTAAATAAAAAATAAAAAAAACCTGTGATTTTAACCTCAAAATCAAAAATGAAATAAAAAACAAAGAGGAAGTAAAAAATGTAATTTAATTGCTTTAACCTGAATTTGTTCAAAGAGAGCACACATGACCAGCACAAAAAAATTTTCGTTGAAATAAACAATTCAATTGCTTAAACGCTATGTCTCTAAAAGAACTATATTGAATGTAAGCAAAAAAAAAAAATATAAGCAAAAAATTCAGCACTAAACCATCTATCAGCAAGAGAAAGTCATTTACATTTACTAGTCAAAAAAAAAATGAAATATATATAATAAATAAAATAATAATAATAATAACTAAAATTTAATAGATATCTCTCGTTCTACAGAATAACATATGCGCTTTTAATCAAAAGAAAAAACCCTACACCAAAAAGAACTGTTACCTGTTCAAATAGCAGAACGTAAAAAATTGGAAAATAATTGCATGCTATCTTTTCTTAGTAGACCATAAAAAAAAAAGAAAAAAAAAGAAAAAAAAAGCAGAAAAAACAAAAAGTAGGTGTTTCTTAAAAGATGCAACAGATGTCAGCATATACAGTTATTTTAACTTATTGGATTGAGTTACAATAAATTTGAAGTCAACTGCAGAAACAGGTAAGAGCAACAACGACGACAACAACGACAGTGCAGATGTTGTAAAACAACGAAATTGAAAAGATTTTTGTTAAATAAACTGTCTAAAACAGAATGCTTATGAATATGCAAAAGTAGTCGCCAAAAACGAGACCTCGACGATAAAGGAGAGTAATGAATAAATAATTCTGGAAGGTTTGCAGCTCCCCAGTATCTCTCCTGTGATCAATGAATTTTTTTTTTTTGAAGCAATCTGTCGCCACCATCATCACTGCTACTTCTACTGCTCCTGTTGTTGCTACTGCTACTGCTGACAGACGACAGTTTTATTGAAGATGTCAACGGGGCAGCAGCTCTTCAAGACTGACAATCAGCTGTTGTTTTTTGCACCGTGAAATTTGCAGTAGCGGCTACAACAAAAACATCAGCAGTGGTAAAAACTAACAACTATAACAATTCTTTGAACATCATTTAGTTCACCAACAGTCACCTGAACTCCGCCAAAGAAAAAAAAACAGAAATAAACCCGTATAAATTTGAAAAACAATTTTACAATATTGTAGTTAAAATTTTTTACATTTGTGGGGTAAAAATCTGTCTCGACAATACTATAAGATGCACACAAGGAAACATTCATCCCCTTAACCTAGTCAACCAGTCCTTTCCCGTTTAGTTTTTTTTTCCCTCACCAGTAATCATATCAAAAAAACCACTTCCTTGCCTCAAAGAAATTTTCTTTTTCTTTTCAGCAAAAGACGTATAATCATCAAAAAAAATGTATATTGAAAAGAAAAGAAAAACTTCAAGAGTTGTAAGACAAAATGAAAAAAAGCGAAAAAAGACAAAGAAGACGAAAGATGAAGTGCTATAGAAATACAATGTACAAATTGTTGATTCAGTACAATGTTAAGTCAAAGCAAAGGTAAAGAATTAAGGCTGTTACTGAATATTTTTAGTATAAAACAAATCAAAAATTGCTTGTCCTTAACTTCATTCCGTCGCTCCCTGCTTCCCCCTGCTGCTAAAATCAGTTTTCTTCTTGAAAAAGCTCAACGACATAGGTAGCGAAACTTTCAGTTTACGGTCAACAAAAGCTAGTATAACTTTGTTAAATCACGATTGACAAGAGTTGGCCAGATATCTTTGCTAATCAATAAGAAAAACTCTAGTAGAGTCACTTTACTTCTTGAGCAGCACAACTGAAAAAAAGTCACACAGACCTTATGAATCAACTTGACGATCTCTGAATGCTCCTTGCCCTCAATTGGAATTCCGTTAACTTCAATGATCTCATCGCCAATTAACAATCCGGCACGATCTGCTGGTGTTCCTAAATAAATGCTCTATCTTTAACAAACTTAAAAAATTGTGTTTCTTTTTTTCCAACACTCAATCTTCAGCTTCTTCTTCTTAGTCTACCTCTTAAGTTTAGACCCTCTGCTTTTCATTCTCTTTTTATTTTTCAAAACTATAACACTCAGAGGTTCATATTTTCAAAAGCTTTATTTATCAAAACTGATTACTATAACCAACATGTTGACAGCAGAAAATTATTGTCATTTGGTGTACTGAACAATACGTTTAACTCAATGTTTTTCAAGTATATAAAAACGTGTTGTTCTGTTTGTGTCACTTCAATTCATCAAAAAAGAAAGGTTTTTAATACGATTAAAAGTGAAAATTGAAGCAAAAAAAAAAAAAATTGTTGCTGCCGTTATTGCATAAAATGAGAGAACAAAAATTTGACATTGTCAAAGCGCAGTCAGAAACCAACCATAAAGTACAGTATTTGAGGCATCATCTGAAGTAACGAGTATAACAAATCCACTTAAAGGCAATGAAAAATTGTTGACAGATGCCGAGGTGGATGCCGTTGATAAGCAATTTGTTAGCGGTTTTTTCCCACCTTTCTTCTTTTCCCGAAAGCTTGACGGCATTTTACTGGAGCTGTTCGAGGGAGACAAAAAATTCATCCGTTGTACTGTTCTTTCTTTTTTTTTCTTTCTTCACAAAAAAAAAAATGAAAAAAGAAAGAAGGAATTTTCTCGTTCTGTTTTAGTTTAGTTTCTGAATCTTCTTGGTTCTTCTATCTAGAAATTCTTTATTTTCTCTTTCTTTTTTCTCTCTCCGTTCGTTTTTCTTCTGCTGTATCTGATGTTGCTGCCGTTGCTGCTGCAAATGTTGATGTTCACGACGAATATGGTTGTGATGGTTAAGAAGAAACTGCAGTCATTGTTTATTTGCAGCTGGTCACCATCAAATGAGATGCCAGATCTGTCCAAAGCGATACAGCTTCCTAGGCTAATCCGTTACTTGTATATTTGGTTAAACGCACAATTAAACTGCGCCACTAACACATCATATATCCATCCAAACAAAAAAAAAATTACATCACCGCCAAAAACTCAAAAATTTGGTGAGTTAGTTGTCAGAAAATAAAATTTGAAAGAAAAACTATCATCTTTTTTTTTTTTTT